ACCATGGGTCAAAAATCAAGCCTCTGTGAATTTAAGAAAATTAAAATCATATCAATCATCTTTTCCGACCACAACACAATGAGATTACAGGTAAAAAAACGTGGAAGTTGCAAACACATGGAGGCTAAACAATACGCTACTAAATAACCAAGAGATGACTGAAGAAATCTAAGAGAAAATCAAAAAATACCTAGAGACAAATGACAATGAAAACACGATGATCCAAAGCCTATGGGATGCAGCAACAGCAGTTCTAATGGGGAAGTTTATAGCAATACAATCCTCCCTCAAGAAACAAGAAAAATTTCAAATAAAAAATCAAACTTTACACCTAAAGGAACTGGAGAAAGAAGAACAAAGAAACCTCAAGTTAGTAGAAGGAAAGAAATCACAAAGATCAGAGCAGGAATAAATGAAATAGAGACAAAGAAAACAATAGCAAAGCTCAATAAAACTAAAAGTTGGTTCTTTGAGAAGATAAACAAAATTGATAAACCGTTAGCCAGACTCATCAAGAAAAAGAGGGAGAGGACTCAAATCAATAAAATTAGAAATGAAAAAGAAGTCAAAACAGACACTGCAGAAATACAAAGCATCCTAAGAGACTACTACAAGAAACTCTATGCCAATAAAATGGACAACCTGGAAGAAATGGACAAATTCTTAGAAAAGTATAATCTTCCAAGAGTGAACCAGGAAGAAATAGAAAATATGAACAGACCAATCACAAGTAATGAAATTGAAACTGTGATTAAAAATCTTCTAGCAAACAAAAGTCCAGGACCACATGGCTTCACAGGTGAAGTCTATCAAACATTTAGAGAAGAGCTAACACCCATCCTTCTCAAACTCTTCCAAAAAATTGCAGAGGAAGGAACACTCCCAAACTCTTTCTATGAGGCCACCATCACCCTGATACTAAAATCAGACAAAGATACGACCAGAAAAAGAAAATTGCACACCAATATCATTGATGAATATAGATGCAAAAATCCTCAATATGCAAATTTGCAGTATATGCAAATTAATTAGTGTGATACACCATATTAACAAATTGAAGAATAAAAACCATATGATCATCTCACTAGATGCAGAAAAAGCTTTTGACAAAATTCAACACCCATTTATGATAAAAACTCTCCAGAAAGTGGGCATAGAGGGAACTACCTCAACATAATAAAGGCCATATACGACAAACCCACAACAAACATCATTCTCAATGGTGAAAAACTGAAAGCATTTCCTCTAAGGTCAGGAATGAGACAAGGATGTCCACTCTCGTCACTCTTATTCACATAGTTTTGGAAGTCTTAGCCACAACAATCAGAGAAGAAAAAGAAATAAAAGGAATACAAATTGGAAAAGAAGAAGTAAAACTGTCACTGTTTTCAGATGACATGATACTATACATAGAAAATCCTAAAGATGCCACCGGAAAACTACTAGAGCTAATTGAAGAATAAAGAATATTCAGTTCGTTTAGCCACTATTCTTTGGATTATTCATCTTTTCCATGTCAATTTGTAAAACCTCATTTTCCTTGAGGGAATTTTGCCCTTTATCTCTTAAATGTTTGCAGAAATTTTCTCAGAATTATTCTTTTTATTTGCGACATTGTTTACTGTATTTTTGTTATATGGTCAACATATTTTAAAATGAAAAAATACTGAACAGGTATTGGCTTTCCTATCCTTGACTCAAATTATTTTCTTTATAGCTTGAAAATATTATCTTATAAAGTGCTTAAACTATTAACATTTAGGACATATCAACAAAAATTTTATTTCAATTAACTGATTTATACAGTAAATTAAAATTTTCTTTTATTCTGATTCTACCTTTAAAATGACCGCTAGTTACTTTCTCTAGTTACCTCTGAGTAGTGGATATGCAGGAGGGTGGTAAAGGGAGACTTTTTACTCTTTAATTTACCAATTTGTAATTGGTAAATTGCAGGATATAAAATTAATGCACAGAAATCTCTTGCATTCCTATATATTAACAACGAAGAATTTGAAAGAGAATTTAAGAAAACAATCCCATTCACTATTACAGCAAAAAGAATAAAATACCTAGGAATAAACCTACCTAAGGAGGTAAAAGACCTGTATTCAGAAAACTGTAACACTGATGAAAGAAATCAAAGATGACACAAACAGAAGGAGAGATATAGCATGTTCTCGGATTGGAAGAATCAATATTGTGAAAATTTGACTGTACTACTAAAAGCAATCCACAGATTCTGTGCAACCCCTATCAAAATACCAATGGTATTTTTCACAGAAATAGAACAAAAAATCTTACAATTTGTATGGAAACACAAAAGACCCCGAGTAGCCAAAGTGATCTTGAGAGAAAAAGCAGAGCCGGAGGAATCAAACTCCCTGACTTCAGACTATACTACAAAGCTACAGTAATCAAGACAATATGGTACTGGCACAAAAACAGAAATATAGATCAATGGAACTGCATAGAAAGCCCGGAGATAAACCCACGCACCTATGGTCAACTTATCTCTGACAAAGGAGGCAAGGATATACAATGGAGAAAAAGACAGTCTCTTCAATAAGTGGCATTGGGAAAACTGGACAGCTACATGTAAAACAATGAAATTAGAACACTCCGCTAACACCATACACAAAAATAAACTCAAAATGGATTAAAACTTAAATGTAAGACCAGACACTATTAAACTCTTAGAGGAAAACGTGGGAAGAACACTCTGACATAAATCACAGCAAGATCCTTTTTGACCCACCTCCCAGAGTAATGGAAATAAAAACAAAAATAAACAAATGGGATATAATGAAACTTAAATTTTTTGCACTGCAAATGAAACTATATACAAGATGAAAAGACAGCCCTCAGAATGGGAGAAAATATTTGCAAACAAATCAACGGACAAAGGATTAATCTCCAAAATATATAAACAGCTCATGCAGCTCAACATCAAAAAAATAACCGAATCCAAAAATGAGCAGAAGACCTAAATAGACATTTCTCCAAAGAAGACATACAGATGGCCAGCAGGCAATGAAAAGCTGCTCAACATCACTAATTATTAGAGAAATACAAATCAAAGCTACAATGAGGTAGCACCTCACACTAGTTAGAATGGACATCATCAGAAAATCTACAAATGATAAATGCTGGAGAGGGTGTGGAGAAAAGGGAACCCTCTTGCACTGTTGGTGGGAATGTAAATTGATACAGCCACTATGGAGAACAGTTATGGAGGTTCCTTAAGAAACTAAAAGTAGAATTACCATATGACCCAGCAATCCTACTACTGGGCATATACCCAGAGAAAACCGTAATTCAAAAAGACACATGCACCCCAGTGTTCATTGCAGCACTATTTATAATGGCCAGGTCATGGAAGCAACCTAAATGCCCATTGATAGACAAATGGATAAAGAAGATATGGTACGAATATACAATGGAATATTACTCAGCTATAAAAAGGAATGAAATTGGGTCATTTGTAGAGACGTGGATGGACCTGCACACTGTCATACAGAGTGAAGGAAGGCAGAAAGAGAAAAACAAATATTGTATATTAACGCATATATGTGGAATGTAGAAAAATGGTACAGATAAAGAGTTTGCAATGCAGAAATAGAGACACAGATATAGAGAACAAATGTATGGACACCAAGGGGGGAAAGTGGTGGTGGTGGTGGTGGGGTGAATTGGAAGATTGGGTTTGACATACATACACTAATATGTATAAAATAGATAACTAATGAGAGCCTGATATATAGCACAGGGAACTCCACTTCACTGTACAGTAGAAAGTAGCACAACATTGTAAAACAACTATATGCCCCTGAAAAAATTATTCACGTTCATGTTACAAAATTACAACAGTATACAGGAGTGTAAAATAAAGAGTAAAAAGTCTCCCTTTACCACCCTCCTGCATATCCACTACTCAGAGGTAACTAGAGAAAGTTACATGTGTACTTTCCAGAAATTTTCAATTTATATTTTTATTTCTGTAGAATAATATATATAGTTCAAAGAATCACAAATGAAATTTTACTGTGTAAATACATATATGGTATATAGTGTAAACATATACTATGTATATTTAATATATGTTGAAACTACAGAGTTCCATATCAACCTGCACATCAGTATTTACAGATGTCTAAGTTTTTTAACTGTTTTATAGTATCACATTGAATGAGATTTTCCTAATATCTCAATTGCTGGATACTTGTTTCTTATTCATCTTTTTAATATTATTACCAACAGTGCTACTGTAAAGATTTTCACTACTTGTGAAAAATAATTTTAGTTAAATTCTTTAAAATGGAATTGTTTAGTCAAAGGGTATATACACTTTTTATTATAAATATATGCCAAATTGCTCTTCAAGAAAGTTATGCCTCTACTAGTAGTATATAAAAGTGTTATTTTTCACACTCTATGTGACTTACTATTATCATACTTTAAAATCTTTGACATTCTGATGAGTGAAAAATGCTATCTTGTCATTTTAATTTGCTTATCCTAATTATATGTGACGTTAATCGTGTGCTTATTGGACATTTTTTTCTATAAGCTTCATATTCAGTTCGTTTAGCCACTATTCTTTGGATTATTCATCTTTTCCATGTCAATTTGTAAAACCTCATTTTCCTTGAGAGAATTTTGCCCTTTATCTCTTAAATGTTTTGCAGAAATTTTCTCAGAATTATTCTTTTTATTTGCGACATTGTATACTGTATTTTTGTTATATGGTCAACATATTTTAAAATGAAAAAATACTGAACAAGTATTGGCTTTCCTATCCTTGACTCAAATTATTTTCTTTATAGCTTGAAAATATTATCTTATAAAGTGCTTAAACTATTAACATTTAGGACATATCAACAAAAATTTTATTTCAATTAACTGATTTATACAGTAAATTAAAATTTTCTTTTATTCTGATTCTACCTTTAAAACGACCACTAACTATATTTCGTTTTCACATATGTTATGCTATTTAGGAAAAATATTTCTATTTTCAGTGTTCTACGCAAGAGTTCTTCCTGATTGTCAAAACCCTGTATCACCTGAAGTCAGAATATCAAGCACTAATACCTGCTGTTAATTCCCATGTTCAGTCAGAGTTGCTCCAGACATTTATTTCAGAAATTCCTGAACTCCTCAGTCCAGTGGAGCATTACTTAAAGATTCTCAATGAGCAAGCTGCCAAGTAAGTAGCAGACCCTTAGTTCTTCCTTTCTAGCAGTGAAAGTAATGTATTTGCCATTTGATGTGTGGATACTTAAGCTTCTATAGAAGTAATGATAGAAGTTGCATGTAAAACTAGAAATGTGATCGGATCCTAAAGGCTCTGTATCACAGCGGGAAATAACACTTAGTGTTTAGGCAGTTCCGTCATACAGAACAAATGTGGTACTTCTCCAGGTATCAGGTGATGAAAAGGTAAAGTCCAGGCTGAGCGAATAGTAGCAGTTTATTAATCCAAAAATAGATGGCAGATGGCATCTTGTGCTTATTTGCTAGATATCCAGAGATCCTCTGCTTTATATTCAGAAACTGTGGAAGGAAAGTTATCCTCTAAGGAGTAGTCATTTTACAATTTATCCCACAAAGAACTCTATGTATAAGAAAAAAGATTTGACAGTATTTACATTAGTGTTTATTTTCTGAATATACAACATGAAATGTTGAATTTCATCTCTTGGTTTCACCATGGCAATCGTGAACTTGCAAAATGAAAATAATGTTAGGGTAATTTTGTCTGTCTTCAAAGAAATTAAGAAACTCACCCATAAATATTTAGTGGAAGAGCTGGAATTATAATCTTGTTCTCCTGACTTCCTACCCTTTGGTCTTTCATTATGTTTTGAAAAATAATTGTTAATTGGTATAAGTAATATGCTTTAATATATGTATTTGCATTTTCTCCTTTTTTTTAGGATTGGGGATAAAACCGAATTATTCAAAGACCTTTCTCACTTCCCTTTAATAAAAAAGAGGAAGGACGAAATTCAGGAAGTTACTGACAAGATCCAAACACATTTGCAAGAAATACGAAAAATACTAAAAAATCCTTCTGCACAATATGTGACAGTATCAGGACAGGAGGTAGTATCAAACATACTTTTCTTTTACATTAGTTTTCCTCAATTGGAAAGGATATTTTAAAATGTAAATAAAAATCTGAGGACAGATGAAAGTATTATTGTTTTCTTTTTTTTTTCAGATTTTCTGTTTTGTTTCTTGGAAATATATTGTAATAGCTTGTTTTGATAAGAATTTTCTTTTAATAACAGTATTTGGTTTGCTTATTTACTTTAGTCTTGGTAAAACCATGGAACTTAATGTTACATGTGTTTTAATATTATCTCTTGAAATTGTAGAGAACCTTGACTATCATAAATAATAACTTTCAAGACTTCATTTGCCCTAAATCCAGGAGAGAGAAGTTAGTCTTTGACTCCCGGCCTGCAGATGATGAAATGATACAAACCACCTAATGTAGTGAACAACCTACACTAATTGGATCACAAAGTGATTAAATGGCAGGGGTTCCTTTTGAAGCAGTAGAGCTGCTAAAAGAACTGGAGAAAAAACTATAGCAAAAACCTACATTTAGTGGATCTTCCATAAGATTATGGTGCTGTCTAGAATGTGTTTTTTGGTATGTGTATTTCTGTTTAAAGTTTGATATTAGGATCTGAAAGAGAACCAGGAATAAGTGCGCTTTTTAAAGTGTACTTGTATCTGTCGGTCCTATTCTGAGCCTTGACGTGTTGCTACTTCTGTATCTTATGTTTAATAAAATATAAAGATTCCAACTGAGGGAATCTGAAAAATTCTACTTTGTTAAAATAGCAAATTAGGGAATTTGTGAATAATTTCTATAGGATGAACATTTTATTCAGAATTTTTAAAAATAGATATTTTTCTAGTGGGGAAAAGTGTAATTTCAAATGTTTTTAAAATATTTGCACTGCTCTATCTATTTAGCCAAAAGTGTTGATTTGTTTGGTTACTTGAAATAAGAAATTCTACAGTAAATTATAATCTTTATTAAAATGTTTATTAATGTAACAGACCAGTGATTAAGTCAGCCTGTCTTCTAGACAAAATTAAGATATTATACTAAGGCGGACATTTAATAATGCATTCCACATAGAGCTCTGTATAACAGAAAAATGACTTCACCCTACGTATACTTATTTCTCACTCTTCCCCTGAACAGGCAAATACCAAATTCTTAATTGTATCTCTTGGTTTCACTATATAATTATGACCTTGCAAACTGACAAGTGATCTCAGTGCCACTGTTCTGTTCTATTTGTTGAAAATGAGATGATCAAAATTGCTTGATACATTAATAAAAGATGTTTAGTAGAAAAGTGGTTACCTGGTATTACAGTGGGGAAAGCTGCCAGTTCTACCACTTACATGCTACATGACCATGGAAGAGTCACCTCTCTGTAGTGAGACTACTGTGAAGACCAATTGAGTTAAAACACATGAAAGTATTTTCTAATCGGAAAGCACTATGCACATATTATTCATATAATAATAATAATAGTAATATAGTTACCATTTGTCAAGCACTTGTTAATGTTCAGAATGGTGCTAAGTGCTTTGCATATATTATTAATCCTTGTAACAACACAAAAAGGGATTATTCCAGTTTTGCAGGAAAGAAAACTGAGACTTGGCATAGTATAGTGAGATAAGTTACCCAAGTTAGAAGCTTATTTCCAGCCCAGGTCTGCCTCCAATCTTTATACCATGTCGTTACTTCACTCAACTCACAAATATGAATACAAGGGATTATCAACATCATAGATTTTTTTTTTTTTTTTTTTTTTTTGCGGTACGCGGGCCTCTCACTGTTGTGGCCTCTCCTGTTGCGGAGCACAGGCTCCGGACGCGCCGGCTCAGAGGCCATGGCTCATGGGCCCAGCTGCTCTGCAGCATGTGGGATCTTCCCGGATCGGTGCACGAACCCGTATCCCCTGCATTGGCAGGCGGACTCTCAACCACTGCGCCACCAGGGAAGTCCCAACATCATAGATTTTATTTGATAAAATCCAGACATTTTCGAGCTCATACTATTCAGACTTAAATAAAGCTCAAGGCTTTGGAAGACAGCCATGGATTCATTTGGCAGTTTTAAAGTAAAAATGGGGAAAACTGATTAGGAATTCATAAGGGATAGTAGATTAGTTATTTTGTATCAGTATAGCATTGACATTTAAGAAAAAGCGCAGAGTGGAGATTAAGTAATTGGATTACAAAAGATTAACAAGGAAGGTAAATTATCTTATTATTTTTAACCTTTACTAAGTTAAGGTGATAAGTTTGAGGCAAGAAATTTCTTAGTTTTTAACAATAGGATGGATTCTTGTTGGTTGTTTTTTTTTTTTTTAACCTGTAGAATCTTAATAATACATCAATACAGAATCACTTTTATAACATTTTTTGGGAATTAGTGATTCTGTTCATTTGAACTCCAAATGATAGTCAGCATTGTTATAATCAAATTCTGTTTAAATATTTGTACTGAAGTTATAAGCAAATTTAGAGATACTCAAAGGAATAAGAACAGACTCCATCAAATATGATTACCTCTGAGAAGTGAAGGAGGAAAGAAGGAAAACCCTTGTTTTATATATATGTGCTTCTTATTTTATACCCCTTGGTTCTGTCTGAAATTTTATTTCCATACATATAACTTTGTAATATATTTTTAAAATCCTGTTATAGCAGCCCTATGTGGTACATGGATCTTGTTAATATTAGTAAAAGTAGACTGTCAAGTCAGTGTTATTTTTGGCATCATTCATTTTTTTCACCTTTGTTCCCAGTTTTTATGCATTAGAATACTAAGCCTTATTGACTATGGTGAATTATTGTGTCTGACTCTGAAAGTATTGGTTTAGAAAATAGTGAAAGAAAGAAAATCCTGGAAAGAAAATAATGAAAGCAGAAATTTCCATAGCTTTACATAGTTCATTGCTTCTGTGGCAGTCTCTTTCATGTTTTATGTGTGGAGAGAATTGTCTCTTAACCTTGAATCAGACATGGAATAGGCATGGGGTGATATTTAGACTTGAGGCAGTATTGATTAGTAGTTTTCTTAAGGAAAAGGAAAGAAATATTAGTGGAAAATCTGTAGAAACAATTTTATTAATTCACAGCATGCAGCATATCCAAATATCTGCTTAGCATGTTCAAGAAGTGGAAAGCAATCTCTGTTATATTTTACATCTAAATAAAAAATATTTGCAAATTCCTAAGACATAGTGGGAAAGAAAGTGGGGAGAATAGGAATGGGTGAAGTGTGGTCTTGGAGAAAACAGAGAGCAGTTTCTGGGGTGTGATAAGAATTTCAGCAAACTTAACAATGATGCCAGTCCAGTGATTCCACGGGCTGTAGGTTGAGTAACAATATCTGACATTTAACCAGGGCAGAACTGGATCCCAACAGAAGAATATGAGGGTTTGTTACAATGAATCTGGACAGACTTCTAGCATCCACACCTAAGAAACACAGTCACAAACTATAGAGTGAGGAAAGTTACTATGAGAACTCTCTAAGATTTCTGAAATATATGTTAATTTCCAATTTTTGTTAGTTTCCTTTACTTTAGCAATAAAGTCTCTAAACAAAATGCCTGTCTTCTCATTCTTAGAATGTTCATGAAATAGAAAATTTCCTATTCCATAGCTAGTGTAGAACAGAAAAAAATTTGCTAGTTGAAGACAATTCTGAGGAGAAACACAGGCTGAAAAGATGACACACAGGACCAGCACCTGAGGAAGTGACCCCAGGGGTTTAACAAGCAGGAGGTCCATGTAGCTTTCCTGATTCTCACTCTGTTTTCCATCCTGTATTGGCTCTATAAATGGCTTGCTTGAGGAGCTGTGGTCCTTAGAATAGACCCTGGATACTTACAGATTGAACAGTTATGGTCCAAACTATTCCCAAGGTGCTCCAAAGCGCTGTGACCAGTGGCAGTTGGTAATGAGTATAAGGCATGGATCTGAATCCAGAGCTGCCATGCTGCAGAGTTATGGTGAATAACTTAAGTACACTATCCTAGCTGGCTGCCCAGAGACCTCACTGAGGCAGTTGTGGCTTCTTTTCAAAATTTCCACCATCCTTAGGCAGTAATTCCTATGGAGCTCTGTGTTACACATGTCCTTCCCAAATATTAGTGATCTAACGTGGTCCTGAATTTTGCTGTTTGCCTTTGGCATAGCTCCTCCCACAATTATTTTTTAAAAAGACCAATATGTTTTCTCATAGAACATTTCAAAATAATATTTAAGCAGAATTTTTTAGCCTACTCTTAAAGTGATTTCTCATCAGTGATATTTATCTTGTGACTTTTTTTCCTTAGTTACTTTTTTTTTTAGCCAAAGGGGACTTTTAAAGACTCTTCACTCTTAACTCTTTAACTGGATATATCAGATTTGAAATTGTATTAATTCCCTCTGTAAAAGAGAACATCATTAGTTACAAAATCTTTGCTAAGGATGAAAATTCTTAAAATTAACCATTAATTCCTATTATAATTAATGTAAAAGCTACAATGTTTCTATTAATAGAAAAGTAAACTCAAAAGCCAGGCTGATACTTTTTTTTTTTTTTTTTTTTGACTGTGTCGGGTCTTAGTTGCAGTTGCAGCACGCAGGCTCTTTGTTGTGGTGCGTGGGTTTCTCTCTAGTTTTGGAGCGTTTGTTTTCTCTCTCTAGTTGTGGCATGCGGGCTCCAGAGTGCATGAGCTCTGTAGTTTGCAGTGCACGGGCTCTAGTTGAAGCACATGAGCTCAGTAGTTGTCGCGCACGGGCTTAGTTGCCCCGCGGCACGTGGGATCTTAGTTCCCTGACCAGGGATCGAACCTGCATCAGAAGGCAAACTCTCCACCACTGGACCACCAGGGAAGTCCCAGGCTGATACTATTAATAATATGCCTATTATAAATACCTGAAATGTTGTAAAACATGTGACAAAGTTCCTGTAGCCATCTCAAAATTAGTGGCCGCCACAGAGCTTCGGGTCCCATCCCATACAAAATAAGTGTATTTTTTATTTGTTTATTTATTTAAATAAAACATTAAATTTCATTGCAATAATACAGGAAAGTGAACAGGAAGAAGAGATGATATATAACTAGTGCTAAAATTGGAAGGTGTGATTGAAGTAGTGATTTCATTTACTTCCTGGATGATTTCAGAAAAGCTTGTAGAGTACAGTTGGATCTATAAAGATATGGTTCATATGAATGAAAACTTAAAGAAGACACTCGTGAAGAAATCCCTTCCTCCCTTAATTGCTGAGGAAGTTAAGTGCTTTGTCTGAGTACACTTTTAGAGGACTTAGGTTTCTTGGATAACAACTATTACGATGAATCCTCTTCTGTTCAGAATTAGGGACTGACCATATCTCAAACTGATATAACATCTAATAATCAAATATTTTAAAATTTTATGCACTTAGAAATTCAGTCTTATTACTGAGTAATAGAATTCTTAAGATAAGTGGGTAGTAATAAATGAAAAAGGTCATTAAAGAAAAATCACCATTCGTAGTATGAACATAACAGTGTTACAAACATTAAAGCGCCAAGTTATATCCTTTATCACAAACTTTTTGCTGAATACAAATTGTACTTTATCCCAAGTATTGAAACCCTAATTAATAATATTTGGTTGTACAGACATATATGAACTCTCCCAGTAACAATACTGGATTTATTTTGAATGTTTAGATTAATATTTGCTAGACTATTATAGCACAGTTGTTTTTTTTTTTTTTGAATTACGATCATTACATTTATTTTCGGCTATTATAGAACAATTTTGAGGAAGATTTAAAAATATAATGGTTAATCATTTAAATATCTAACCTTTATTTGTATTTATTTTAGTTTATGATTGAGGTAAAGAATTCTGCTGTATCTTGTATACCAACTGATTGGGTTAAGGTTGGAAGGTAAGTTTAAAAATACATGTTTTTTCTTATTAACGTGAATTATGACATGTGTTTACCTGCATGCTTCTGGTATGTTAATAACCACATCCTTGACATTAAAAGCAATTTTGGCCCTTCAGTTTCTTTATGGAACTTTTAACTAGATAAATAATTATCTAAAACTCTTTTTATCCTGGATTTTAAAACATTTTTTCCAAAAGGTGTCTTATTTGTGTACACTTTTCTTGTTTTGTGAACTACTGTTTTATTCTTATACCTCAGAGAACACTTTAAACACATGGAAAAAGAAAGTTGCAGAACCTTCAATTATAAGATTAATTTGGTTGCTTGAACTTCTTGATGAATGTGCTATACCTGACATTTCTTTTAAGAAGCTGACATTTCATTTTGTGCCTCACTGAGCTTGCTTTCCATGGCACATAGTTATAATAGTTCTTTACATGTTCTTTTTTTTTTTAAGTTATATCGTGAATTGATGAAAATAATCAGAAACAAAATTAGAGAACCACGTTGAGACCCTGCCTTTTCTCCTTGGTTAGGCATTAATCCCCAAGAGGGGACTCTTTTTTTTTTTTTTTTTTTTTTTTTTTTTTTGCGGTATGCAGGCCTCTCACTGTTGTGGCCTCTCCCGTTGCGGAGCACAGGCTCCGGACGC